AGCCAGAAGTTCCTAAAGTTGAACAGTTTAAGCCTCATCTTTAACCTCAACTACGTATTTTATTAAATGACAAAGTTTCTTGGGATCCAATATCCAGACAAAAAGCAAAGACGACTGTAAAAATGAATAAGATGTAATGTGAGACATAATGTGACCTCATAATGTGACTTATAATTTATTCCCTAATCAAGACAAAGAGTGGCCCTGACATTAGCTTGTTGAGAAGTTCTTCACTAAGTTCTTAGACAATATATAGAGGAAGACAAAGAACATCACATAGATTAATCTACCTGAGGATGACAGAATGAGGACTGCTTATATCTACTTATGAAATAAATGTATCCATTAAATAACTAAAGCTTTAGCGCCTAAGGAAAGACAGGGCCTGTCACTAAATAGATCCTTATTTAGTACCACCTATAGCTATATAGTCACATGTGTATATTTTGAAGATAATTACGCTTTTTTTTTTTATATTAACTGAGGCACAACATGAACTCAGTATCTTTCTCCTAAAACAGTTTCCTTTTAATCATTTCTCCTGTCTACTTATAGCAGTGGTCCCCAACCTTTTTGGCACCAGAGACCGGTGCTCCTAAGGCAGTGATACTAGTGCTGGGGAGTGGCTGCAAGTACAGAAGCTTTGCTCATTCACCCACCACTCGCCTCCTGCTGTGCGACCTGGTTCCTAATAGGCCACAGAGAAGTACTGTCCATGGCCCGGGGGTTAGGGACCTCTGACCTATAGGGTTGTTGGGGTTTCAATGAGAAAATGCATGTAAAGAGCTTAGTATTCTGCCTAGAACATGATTAGTGATTGAAAGATAACTTTATTATTATTATTATGGTTTGATTACTTTTTCAATCACTTATGCACTATAACATGTCAGGAAGGACATAGTTTTGTTTTGCTTTCAGGATGGCTATTACTCCTTTTAAAACTTGTTATTATGGACAATTCACACATATACAAAACTAGAATACTATAATAAACTAAATATACCCATTATTCAGATTTACTAATAATGATCAATATTTAATCAATAATAATGATTGACATTTGATAATGATTAATATCTAGCCATTTTTTCATTTATATTCCTGTCTACTTCCCTCTCCAGATGATTTGAAGCAAATCCTAGACATCAAAGCATTCACCAGAACATGAGGTTTTGAAATCATACACACTACCTTACTAGTGATATGACCTTGGGTGTGCTACTTAACCTCTGGATTTAGGTGTCTAGCAGTCACTTGGTGAAACTAAGATCACTTTCTTTCCCCTGGTTGGCTCTAACTGGTTTCAACATCTGTGATGTTTCTCTCAAAATCAGTACTCCTTACCTTACTTCTGGATAATCCCAACAGCAACCTGTTTTCTCACCTCTTGTTCATCCCATACCTCGGTATTCTATTGGGGTTTATTTTAGGCATACTACTAATCCTACAAGATGTCTAGTGAATCAAAAATATCAAGGGCAAAGCAAATTTGGAAAACACTGCAAAGGCTATTCTTCTCATAATGTATACTACATTAAAAACAAGCCCGAGAATTTTGACATGACAAGAAGTCCTGCAGTGATGAGTCCTGTTTAACACTGCTTTACCCTAACTTATATGATCATGAAACTCTTTCACCCAACGATTAAGAACCTACAAAACTAGAGTTCCATGGAACATGCTTGGGAAATACAGTGATATGATAATGCCAGATCGGTGCTCCTTAAGCAACTGCTTCACTGGGATGCTAACAGCTCAACAAAATTTCAAGAGGTTCTCCTTAATTATAGGTTCAAATTATACTTACATTGTTTCTCACATGTTTGTATATGTCACAAACTGCCTCCCACAGTAGGAGGATCTTTGCTTTATATGTCTGCATCTCTCTTGCTGTGTGTACAAGACAGTATAATGTAGATATGCTCAGTAATTATCTGTTGAATGAGAATGAAGGCTGGATGAAACATATGATTAATCTTGACCAGCAATGAAATTGCTCAGGTTGCTGCTACTGTAAAGTCCTTGAGATATTTTACATTTCTTAGGAGTAAACATTAGAAACTGGAGAGAATGTCTATCTTTTTCAGATTTCTAAAAGGTTAAGAGTTCCTAAAGATTTCCTCTGACATATTCACACTTATCTTCAAGGTCAGTCATGGAGAAATGAGTTTATCATCATTCCTCACTCTTCTCCTGAGCCCCAGTCATGTCTTTGAAAAAATGAAGGTACTAATACCTGCTTGGTAGGCTTATTGTGAGGACTTAATGAAATACCTAGTCCCGGGGCTGATTCATGCTAGATATTCAAGAGATGTTATTTTCCCCTGGAGAACAAAGCAGAGTAAAAGAAAAAGAAAGGCTGGTAGCATCTTATACAGGATAGCTAGGGAAGAACTCTCTAACAAGGTGAGAGACATTTAGAAGGGAGGGAGAGCTACACAGCTATCTGGGGACCGAGTGTTCCAAGTTAAGAGGAAAGCAAGTACAAAGATCCTTAGGCATGAGTGCTTGCCTTGTTTGAAGAACAGCAAGGATGCCATGTGACTAGAGCATACTGAGTACGAAAGAGCAGTAGGAGCTGAGGTCAGAGAGTTAAGAGGGAAATGGCGTCAAGTAATTGAGGGCACTGTAGGCCATTGTTAAAACTTTGGCTTTTACTCTTAGTGAGAGGAACAGCCGTCGGAAGGTTCTGAACAGAGACATGCGTGACACGATCTTATTGATGTTTTAAAAAGATCATTCCAGTTGCTATGCTGAAAATAGACTGGGGAGTAAGAGGAGGGAGGAACTAGAGAAACCAGTTGAAAGTCATTTTGATGAATTACACTAGGGTGTAGTGGTAAGAAAGAACTGTATCTGCATTTATTTTGAAAATAAAGAAGACATGAACTGCTGATGGATTAGTTATGGAGGAGTGAGAAAAAGAGAGGAACCAAAAACAACCCCAAGAATTTTGACATGAGCAACCCAAAAGTCTAAGTTGTCATTTACCAAGATGGGAAGACTGAAGAAAGACCAGGTTTGGGGGACAGAAATTCAGTAGTTTGGATTTGGAGATGTTGTTGTATTTGGCATACCTATGCCACAGTCCTTGAAGCAGAGATCTACCTTAGTCTCAATGAGCTGTAACTGCCCCAGGTAGCCTGTGAATCATTACCACAGGGTGAGGGCATGGACTGCTGGCTCTGTGTTCTTCTCTGGCCAGATCACATACTTATCATATACTGTATTCTATCATTTATATGTATCATATATATACTATCTCATATGCATGTGTCACACTGACTCATATCTCCCAAAAGCACCCCCAGGAGTCAGGACCATCTTGTGATCACTTAAGAACGGTACTAGGATCCTCTGACTCAAGCCAAGGTTACCCGGTTTCTCTTCTAATTCTTATAACTGAACATCTACAAAGTAGAAACTTTGTGTTAGCTGTCCTCAGTCTCACATACCACAATTCCCCATTCTTATCTCCTAAAACTGAGCAAGATTTCATTCCAACTTTGCATTGGAAAAGCATAAAATGAATATTCCTCTTGCTCTCACATTCCCAAGATCCATTAGCCATTAAATGCATCCAAAGAATACGGGTTTTTGATATGTCAATGTGTAGAATCTTTATGTATTTACAGAAATTTAACGAAAGGGAATATATACAAAAATTCTGCTATAAGGAATCACTTCATCGTTGACAGTGCAAAAATTGAACAATCCCTTGGTTCAATAAAGCAAAGACCTGGCATATAAAAGAATACTAAGTGATCATCAAAAATGACTCCATATAAGAATACATTAAAAAATACTGAGTAAAATAAGCTGATTATAAATAGTATGTATAATATGACCTCCAGTTTTGTTTTAAAAGTGTATACTAGAAGTTAAATATGATTATACATGATCAACAAAAATAACAGTAATGTTATCTCTGGGTAGAGGGACTGCAGCTAAATTTTCTTCTTTTTACTTGTCTACAAGAAAGCTAATACTCTTTTCTACTGAGAATGAGTTTTAAATTTTGTATATTCAATATAAAATCTCTCATATTTGCAGTTTATGTTTAAATTTTAATTTTTGCCATCTTACTTAAAAAAAAAAAAAAATCTACCTACATCGCTGTACATACTTCATCTAGGTCAAAAGGCTTCCTCCTAAGAAGACATTTTTAGATTCTTCCCCAAAGGCCTATCTCCCAGGGGACATGAAGCAAACAACTCTGCAGAGAGCTCAATTATAAGGTTTCCCTGCTCAGCACAGGAGACTCTGCTCCCAGGGTCTGTGGGTGCTACTCTCCCAACCTAACAACCACTGCACAGAAATGTGAAGCAGAACAAAATGCCTTACTCTCTGCACCCGGCCGAAGACCCAACTGTTAAGCAGAGACTAAGAGTTCCATAGTCCCCACCAGGGCAACGGGCAATGGACTTTGTTTTCTATAAACAGAGAGACAAGAAAAAAGTTCGGGTTAAAACACAGTCCTCAGAGGAAGAAAAATAGAAACCAGGCAGCGGGGAATGCTTCATATTCTTAAAAGCTTTTTTTGTACGTTAACACATGGTGTCTGCTTCTCTCTAGTCACCTATTTATCACTCTCCTCCTTAGAGAAGGGAAAAAGCTCTGGCTGTTTTCCTAGTGCAGAGTTTTGTGGCTGGGGGGAAGGAGGTAAGGGGGGTGGAAGGAGGGTGCTTTAAGCATGATGCAAACCATTTGGAGTTGAGTGAGAGCACTGCCAACACAAGCTGGACTATTTAAACAAGTGAGGAAATGATCGTATATACAACATGCCAGCAAGCACACACACACACCAAAGGAAGTCGAGAGGGCTTTTTTTTCAGGACACAGAGCTAGATGTCAGCGGCTAAAAGGTCGATATTTTCCCTTAACACCCTTCTCAATGACTTAATCATGTTCCGTTTGCACAGAAAACTTCCCAAGAATAAAAAAGTCTGGAGAATTAAGAGGAAGGGTAAATGGGGAGTGATGTTTGGCCTGGGGCTGACCTTATCCGAGGTTTTCTCCACGTAGCAGGGGTCCTGAGGGGCAGCCAGCAAGGGGACAAAGCCCGAGAGAAGCCGATCCTCTTCCAGGATAAGAAGGGTGAGGTCATCGTCCGGGTCCTTGTACAGTGGCACCTCAGACTGATTCACCGCGGTCAATATGTTACAGAAATCAGCCAGCATCGACCACACATCTACAGCAATCCTGTGAGAAATAAGGTAAGAAAAAAAGAGCAGCTCTAAAGAGGGACCGGTGAAAGTATTCTATACACTTCTGAGCAGGGAGGTACTTGTGGCAAATGTTATCTATGATTGGCATCTGCCAGGAAATCTTACCCAAAAAGCTAGGATATAAAATTGCACTCATGGCAGCAACCTGGTGAATGTGTGTCCATCTATGCAAAGTTGAAATTGATTAGGGGGAGTTTTTAATCCTAACCAGAGAGGGAAAAGAATTTAGAGAATCAGTTGCCTAATGCAGGTCCTGTCACCTTTCCAGACAGTGTGCCTGAGACACTCAAACACTCTAGACACCCAGTGCCTGAGGCAGCTCCTAGAATTCCCCTACTCCTGTCCAGCCAAGTGTATGTCACACAGATAGCAAGAGGGCACCAATCTCCCCTCCTCTTGCACAGCCAGAGGGGCCAGACACACCACGGAAAGAGTCACGTGGTTTTTTCCCCCTCACAATGCTTCAGAAACCTCTTCCTATATATAAACAGGAAAACAAACAATCACGTACCCAACAAAAACCTCATTCCTGACCTGCCAAACTTCCTATGCATTTCAGCAGATGAGCCAGTATCAGTGCTGTCTTCACCATCTTATTCCTTCTCCTTCCCCTCACTTGTGGAAGGTTAGATATACGGTAACCAACTGCTCTGGTTTGCCTGGGACTGTCCCAGTTTTAGTACTGAAAACCCCACGTTCCCAGAAATACCTTAGGCATGGGAAACTGGGATGGTTAGTCAACCTAATTGTGTATCACCAATTCCTGGTTCGATCTGAGAAGAAACCTTGAAAATGCAAAGTATGGTTATCCCCAGTTCAAACTCCAGGGCAGAATTATAAAAAGGTTCATTTTTCTGTCACCATCATTTGTCAAAACTCTGTGGTTCAGATCCCTGCTTTGATGGGTGCTAAGGATCCTTACAGCTTTCTTTTCCAGCCCAGGACATAGCTCAAATAGCCAAACTGTGGTCAGATCCAGGGCCTGACAAGTCTACAGACTTGGCTTTCTTTCCCAGAGGACCACCTAACCAGGGAGTCTGGAACAGGCAGTACCCTATGGATGATAAGTTGTACTCCAAAAGGAGTGAGATCCATAAAAGAATTACAAAGAAAAGTTTTACCAGTATGTTTAAGATGTGGAGTGGCAAGAAGCAAAGAGAGCTATAAGAATGAGCTACATCCTGGAATCTTCCCAGACGAGTTACTGAGCATGAGCCCAATCTGCTAGGGAGGAGCTTCGGATCTAAGCAATCTGTTTCTCCTGGAGACTAGAAACCTTTGGGAGATGGCAGAAAGGAGGGCATTCAAGGGACATGCCACTGAAGGTGATGCTGGAGGAGAAAGTGGAGTAGAGGTGTGAGAACTCCCTGACTGGCTCCAGGTGGAAGGAGCCTGCACTGGTTTATTTACTGTAATCACTGCACTAGAAAAAGGCAATGAAATGAAACATCTTGTTTTCAAGAGTGTCCTGGGAACCAGGCGGAACACAACTCCATTAATCACACAACAGCACATAATCAACACACGTGTACTGCAGAAGTAACTCGCTTCACAGGCTTTGCCCAGGGAAAAGAACATGCTTGGGAAGAATCACCGGAGGGATAAGAGTTTTTTAAAGCCTCTCTCTGCACAGACACCAACAACCAGACTCATTCACAAAGCTCCATCTTTTGGCTCAGCTGGTTTTGGCTGTCAGAAATGTTTAAATATGGAAAAAAATAAACAGTTGCAACACGTTTCTGTGCAGAGATCTGCCTGAGCCCCTTTGTGATGTAATGGGAAACGCGGCATTCAGGCTACCAGCTGTAGAATAAACAGAACTTCGAGGGTTAAAAGGAACTGAACTTTCCACGACCCCATCTGCAGAGAAGAAAATAATAAGAGGAATGATGCACTGCCCCACAGCTCTGATAGTTTATCCTCCGGTCCCGGCTGCAGAGACAAGCACCGGATGTGATAGGGCTGCTCAGGGCCGCCTCCGAGGTTAGTGCTGCCCATGGGAGACACACAGGGAGGCTCTTCCAACTCCCTGCTTCCTCCCCCAGTGCCCTGCTGGCCACTTGAGCCCACTGCCTGAGTCTGATCCCACAGCGCTGGTGAGCTCTGGCCAACAGGCACTGCTCGGCTACAGAGCAGCAATTTGGAAAATAAACAGGAAAGACGAGAGTGAGAAGGAAGAAGGTGAAAAGTCTTCCAGCTGAATTCTTGGCTTGGGGGGCCTTGGTTGGTGCTGTACAGGTCAAGGCTGCTTCAGGATGTAGTTGGGGGTGGGAGGTGTGGGCAGCAGCATCCCCAGCCAGGGAGAGGCAGCAGAAAATCACCCACAGTGGGAGGCCCCACATCCCTCTCTCATCCTCCCACCCCTACCATCTTGGATCCAAGATGAAGAAATATGTGGTACCATGTGGTTCTCATTACCATGCTCCCCTGTCCCCTAAGGCTCAGATAAACCAAAACTGACTCCTCCCAGAGACTGCTGACCACCACTAGGGACCCCAGCCCACATTTGCCTTTTGCCCATTACCACCCACCTTGTGCCAAAACATGAAGACTCACTGCAAAAATGAAGTGGATGAGAGTTCCTACACCAGTGCTGATTTGTAAGACAGCAGCTGGTGCCAAAAGACATAGAATGTGTCCTGAGTTCCCAACTCAGAAATATAAAGTGGCCCAAGCAAGGGCCAAGCTACACTAAGCAGAACCAAGGGAATATACAAAATGCTTCAATGATAGATCATTTCTGCCCTGATCCATTCAGACTGATTTTGTGTTTGAACTCTGATTCTGGGTAGTTGTTTTCTTCTGGTATCTCTGGATTGCCTAAGATCACTTCACATTTCATCATAAGTTATCTCCTCTCTCAGCACCATAGACAAGAATACAACTAAATTGGTACCCATGAGCCATATGGTGACTCTCCAGAGAGGTGGGGAAGAGAAGAGTGTTAGGAAACTAACACTAAAAGGAGAGGTACTTTGAAAAACTAGGTGAAATGCCTGAACTCAAAAGTTAAGATATTTGCAAAAGGATGAGGTCATTCCTGGAACCTGGGCAATATCACCTCAGCTTACCCCAATCAGGCCTCTGGGCTGAGAGGTCAGTTCCGTGGGTGAACACAGGGTTTCCTGAGTAGAAGGGAAAAAGCTTAGCTTTTTCCTGCTCTAGTTCCTGATCCCAGTTAGGAGTGCCTTCCAACCTTCACCCTAAAGCAGCCTTTGGATTCTAAGGATTCAAGGTTGGTCTGGGCTGAGGATCCCAAAGTCAAATTCTGGTGACTATGAGGAGCTTTAAATAGCTCTCAGTATTTTAGAAATGTCTGGGAAATGACTTCCCCAAAAGGTTTTTCAGACAATCTCAAACCACTTTTGGTTCTAAATGGACCGGACCCTCTAGAGTGCTAAGGGTTCAGGCAAGTCTCTTGGGCTTGTTCTGATCCCAATTCATATTTTGGGGAAGCTCCCAGAGCCCACAATATTAGGGTGCATTCTCCACCTAGTAGATACAAAGCAGCCAGAGAATATGAAACTGCCCCCATTGACTCCGTTTATGGCTCTCATAATGGTGGCAAGGGAGCCTCTCAGCAGCTGTGATGTGATTAGTGTGCAGGGATCAGCAGTTGCAGGGTGACCCAGTGGCCCAACCCCACAGAACACACCACACACCAGGAAAGCAGACCCCTGGCTGGAGTCTGAACACCAGATCCTAGCTTGGGACAGACCAGCAGTGGCTAGTTAGAGGTACGCACTCAGGACCAAGGCTCACTCACTTCCCTACAGACGTGCATTTACTTACTCCACCAGGAAAGGAAAAAAATAAGAGTTAATTTACTTTTTATTGCCTCAGAATTCCAAGGTTTAATGTAGCTGTCAGTTTGAGTGCAGTGCAGCTGCTGGCCGATACAATGCAGCCCAGGCCAGCCCAGGTGACTGGGGAAACACATTTCACAGAAATGAACCTACACACACTCTTGGCTGGTTGTTTGGGGGATATTGACTTGGGGAATCAGATTAACCCTTCAGACTGAGGTTAGTTCTGCAAACAGCATTAGAAAAGCAGCTTCAGCCCAATGACCTGAGAAGCTTGGTCTCAAGATAAACCAGTGGATTTCTGTGTTTCTACAATTTTGGAGTTTTCTCATATAAGATGTTACTCAACTACAACATGCTCTGAAAGATTAAGATGGGAGACATATGAGGCAAGTTATACCACAACAATCTATCTCCTTCCTAGAACTCAGGGAAAAAAAGGCAGATCTACCAGCTTTATAGGGAAGAGGTCAGGTAGGAACTTTTTTGCAAGCTTCACCCAGGGCAGGACCAAGGGAGGGAGACAGTTTAGAGAATGAAGTATTAAAGCCCAACCAAGGCTCAGGCCATCCTTCTGGCAAGTCTAAGGAAGACTGAGCCCTCACACACCCCTTCATATTTTTACTGGGGAATAGGCTGACTGGTGATTAATATCAAGTACAATGACCCCATGTTACAAGCCTGCAGGGGCCTGTGGAGGTGGCCATTTCCTGTGTAATACCAGCTTGTTTAAACACTAACATTCAAACTCCACAGCTGCAGAACAAACCCGGAAAGAGTTGAGTGAGAAGAAGCCCTGGATTGTGTTTCGGAGCTATGGAAGATCAGAGAAGTAGTGCAGATGGGAAACAAGTTGGGTCTTTTGGTTCCTGGGGTGAGGAGCTCTGGAAATATAGCCAAGATGGCATGGAAACTAGGCACAACAAAGCTGAAAAAAGAGAAAGCCCATAGACATAAAGGGAAAACACAAAAGGCCAGATCATGAGAAATGTTCTTAAGATAGGCAATATCCTTTTTTTAAAACTTGTTTGCCTATGGACCATTATTCTCTAGCCCACAACTCTCCACATAGGGTTCAATGGCCAACATACAACCATTGTAGGCCTAGAAGACTTCCTGCCCAACTGAAGAAAATTGCAGGAGGTAAAGCAGCTAATAGCAGAAATGG